CAGGAAGATATCCATGGTCAAGTTCTTGTCCAAGACATTGTCCTTCCTGGCAGGTGTGTGACGTAGAAACATTGCTGCTCTCTAAGTGGTTGCCCTTGGTTGGGGTTTATAGGTTCAAGAGCGATGCAAACATTGGATGCAATCCATACTAGTGTCCGTACTATACACTAGCCACAATTTGTCCAAGAATCAACCATGTTTCGAAAAGCACCATGTGCGGTAAAGCCAGCGCATCTGCTGGGACTCCCTCACCAGCTTTGGCCTTTTTCTGCTTCTGAGGCTGCTGTGCGCCTCCCGATGTCCTCTTCTTGGGAGCCATGCTGGGCACCTGGCCATTGGTTGAAATTGGTTGAACGATGTTAATGTTTTGTTTGCGAAGCCACTTCACAAACACCCATTCAACTTTGGCAATGGAAATTGTGAATAAAGACGACCCGATTATTCACAAAACCCATCCTCACAGACTGTGGTTCAAGGTCAATGGATGGCTGGACCCGGATTTGTGAATTTGTGATGAGGGAGCAGGTGGTTTGTGAATAAAGACGACCCGATTATTCACAAAACACCTGGTGGGGGGGAGGCCTCAAATTGTGAGGAATACAATCTTCACAAAACTAGGTGGTGTTCTTCACAAATTGGCCCAATTAGCCAGGGTTCTTCACAAACCCAGTCGAAACACTATGGACCATTAGATGCTCCCTTCACACCTGATCAATACCCGCTTCATCCCAGGACCGACTCTGTTTTTGCACACTGGCGGTTTGCTCGAACATTCTAGCAGCGTCTCATGGCTTCCGACACGATCTTGATTGCTTCTGCCATTGGAACTCCATGTGACCACAGCCTGGCAGCAGCTGTGTACAAGGCTTGATTTTTGCGAGCGTACCCATACCGTAGCAGCTCCCCGCGATTTGGCCGCTGGTGCACCAAGTTCAAAACATTTGGAGCCTCAGGCGTGTTTAACTCTTCCCAATTGATTCAATAGAAATTCAAAGAATTTAGGTTCTGACCCCATCCAAATCTTGACCCACAGCGGGCGGTTGCGCCGGCACTCCAGGTCCAACACCAGGACCAAGATGAGGTAGGGCCCTCAGAGGCTGAACATCGAAGCTATATTATATACCGCTAAAAAGTAATGGTGAATGGGGATTCACAGCTAGGGCATGGGCCAATTTACATCGATGAAGGGCTCTTGGGTGTGAACACCATTGGCGTATTCATCCAATGCTTGGGACGCAGCATGCATGTCGAAAGGATCTGCACCTTGCGAGCTCAGTGATTTCTGTGTGCCGTGTGACAATTTGACTTAGGCCGAAGCTCATCAAAGCAGCATATTTTCTAAAGGCCCTGTTCTCATTGGAGTCGGGGTTGACAGGCTTGTCCCAGAAGACTGCGTGGGTCAGCGAAGCAGTTGCATAACAAAGATTGGGTCAAATTGAGCAATGACCTCTCTTGTAATATTTGTGTTTGGCCTGGTGGTGAATCACCTTGCATTGCACGAGCTACCATGTGTGGAAGGAACAAGATCGCTGGGCCATCCCAAGATTCATTGCTCATGAACCGCTTTGTCCTCGCAAGCATTTTTGGAACAAAGACCAAAGGATTTATGTTCACTAAACAAAGTAGAAATCCTGAGGATGACATCCCCTCCGCTCGGCACATACCGCTGCTTGCGCCAGAACCGGTCGTCGATGTTGCATCTCGGGATTCCTGGTGGAGAGTGGCACGAAGGCGACGTTCAGTGATTAGCTCAGCCGGTTAGTCAGCGCAGGTTCAATAAGGGTTGAAACAAAAGTTAAAGATAGTTAAAGGTTCCTGAGTGTTTGGTCACCAAACAAGAAATAACTTACAGTATCCTGTGTCTTCAATGCGATCTAATCTGTAGAGATGCGGAGCGCCCGGCCCGCCAATGCCGGTGATGTGCGCTTCACCGAAGCGCTCGGAGAGAAAGTTTTTCCTGAGAAGGCAGTGAACCAGTCAAGCAGTGGGACCAACACATAGAAGATCATAGAAGAATAGACCAAACTTTCACTCGCAGAAGGAACCTGACCACAACCGAACTGCTCTCAAACAGTTATGACAAAACTAAGGTTTGCAAACTCCTCTGAAAACACTCTCAGGATCCAATCCCGATATTGCGTTAGCAAGTAAGCCTTTCGGCAGTGCTTCTCATGTGGTCTCCTTTCCATGGACTGCATAAACTGCTGAATTCGATCTACATACGCTTTGGGTGTCCACATTTCCTGGATGCCTTGTAGATATTGAGCCACTTGTGAAAAGTAGCCATCAACGTCTTCATGGGAGTGTCCCGAGGAGAGGAAACTCAATTGGCAGGCCTTGATATGGCCAAGAGCTGTGAGCAAACTCATCTGTTTGATGATGCAATTGTTCTTGATTTCTTTGCTGCAGTTGTCCGCCTGGACATGTACAGTGACTTGACGCATGTCAAGCCGTCCAGCCACAGACGATAGTCCATTCATCAAAATCTCACATGAGCGCGACGAGTTGCAAGTCACAACATGCGGAGATAAAGCCGTAATCAAGGCATGGCCGTGGATGATAAGTGTGGTCGATGCAAGGCGTGGTCTGCTGAAGCTGCTGAATTCCTTGGACTGTAGGTTCAAGGATTTTGGCCAGGCGTGTTTACCCTGGTCCATGCTGTCCAGGATGCAGCTCAGTGTGTATGGCTGGCTGTTGGAGCTGTCCAGTCTAGATTGCGCCCTGATGCTCCAATATAACTGGCGGTCGCGGTGCTGACGCGACAAGTGTCGGAACAATAGGTTCTCTTGAGCCCGCCGAGCTGGTCCTTGATGCCCTAGTCTTCTCAGTATGAGTCGATGCTTGACGCATTGCCTGCAACGAGCATGATGAGATTTGAAGCGTATATGCAGTTTGTCACTGAAGTCCCTTTGCCACACCTGGTCCCACACAGCTTTGCGCTCAGGCCAACGACCAGTATATAGCCAAACAGTCTCCCCAACTCACAAAGAACTTACAAGATTTACTAGTCTATGACCAAGCGCACTTGTGAAAAGCTTTTTGCTGACCTTGACGCCAGGAAGGGCCGCCATACACTGTGTCCAATAATCAGTTATCGACGCGTGCGGTAAATGTTTGATGTGCGCACGGTTCATGGTAGGCTTGTCAATCTTGTTCGCACCATGTCGTGGTCGCTTCGTACTGTTCAGCCCATCAGGAATTTCTTCGGCGGCTTCTGTGTATAGTTTTGTCAGAAACCCATGGACCTGGAACCAAGCCTCCGATGGTGTTTTTGGGCCTGACTTGATGTATCTCAAGTCGAAAGGACAGTCATCAGCTCCTTTTGCCAGGGCTGTTCGCGTGCGCCCAAAACGACCCTTGCCAATCCCCATCATTCTGCTAAAGCCACGGTGGCAAATTGGGTTGCCCCCAGAAACCAAATGCCGCGATCCACGGCAAGCCTGCTGAGGTTGACTCCGCATCAAGCTGTAGACCTTGGCAAGGCAGTGGTGCGGACGGTGGGGAAAGTGTGGACAGTTGGGAAGGAGAAGGTGTAAGCCCCTGACATGTTGATCCTTCTCAAGCTTGGTCATTTGAACAAATAGCTTCCGGAGAGCAACCCATGCATCCCACAAGGCCCAGCTATTCCTCCATGGCTTGAAACACTGCATGGAACAGCCACATTTCGAGTTGATCAGGTTCCTCAGCCGTTGTGGGTCTGCTGAAGTGTCAACTTTGACCCTTTTCCTGAAGCTTCCACCCGCTCGCTTTGCACGGCAAACTCTCTGCGTTTGCACTTTGGATGGTACCCCATGCCCATCATCACTAAGTGCATCAACATCCAGCAAGGAAGTTGACATCCCCACCTAGCACAAACATATTTGTATGATGACAGGACTCATTTTTAACACCAAAAAGCTTGTAAGGATATCCAAGAGTTCACGACCCCTTCTCACCACCCACCTGTTTCCCATCACAGGCTAATCGACTTGAAGAGGAGCTCATGCTGAAGCCTTGGACGGCCGTGGGGTCAAGGAGAAGCGAGGAGAATGGGCTGCGTAAGTAGAAGAAGCCGGGTGGCTGAAGGTGAGCAGACCCCAGATTGCAACACCAACAGCAGCTCGCAAAGACATCGAAAACAGCGAAAAAAGTTCTGAAACCAGTTCAAACTGAACAATGCCTTGCAACATGCACAGACATGTGACGTGTTATGTTAAACATAGCAAGACATAAAGGAATGTCATATGAGTCATATCATATGAGCCTAAAAGGCTAAAGAAACAAACATGCGGCGCAAACAACAAGACTGTTGGCTCCTGCCCTAGTTAGCTTTGGCAGCGAAAAGGATGGGCTGGAAAGACAGGCCAGAGGTACACGAAGGCCGGGCCGGAACCAGCCAGTCGGAAAACAGCTGCGTTCACCAAAAACTCAACATGTTCTCATATAGGTTGTGTTCACCAAACAGATAAGCAGTCGCACTACCCCCGATCTTTCACCCCAACTCCGATTTCAGGCCCGTGGTAAATCTGTGTCAACAGCCTGCGGATTGTTGCACCTAACTTGGCACTGAATTGCATTGCAATGGTTTGCCACGCTTCTGACAACACCTTGTGGAATCAGCCAACACTTCAGTCCTTTACTTTACAGCAAGTGATAAGAATCAATGGTTCAGGGCTCATCCCCTAGCAAAGTGCTCAGAAGCCAGAATGTTCAAAGCCAATCGGCACATATCTGGGATCACGCAGTTACCTACACAATGGAGGCGGCTTTTGGCTTCACCATCCTGGTGCTCTTCAAGCCACCTTTCCATGCGAGGCCGGGTTTCACAGTGCCAGGATTCAGAGGGCCAGGCTGTCAACTTCTCATTGGGCAAGATCTTGAAGCCCTGACAAGTTCACACTAAAACTAGTGGGGTGCCTGCTGGGATGCCTGACATTAGCCAATCTCATCCATGTTTCATCCATGTTTCTTCGAAACAAACAACCCTGCCTCACGAAAGAACTTGAATCCGGGCTTGCACGCTAAAATGAAAACCCGCTCTCTCCATACCTGAGCAGGCCATGTTTAAACCCTGTTCAAGGCCATTGTTAAAACACTGTTCAGTACACTTTACAGCAAGATGCATCATGGCCACACATATGCCCATTCACCACAGCGTAGCTCAAGTGCATGCGTCGACTGCGGATCTCCTGGTATGGGTATTGTTTTCTGTTAGTATTCAACATTATTCAACTGATAAAACATGATGAAACAATAGTGGATTGACCAATACCTGACCTCTTGGATCAAACACCATAGCTCATCCATGTCAGCCCCCAATAGGTTGCCAACGTTCTCCAT